TACTCTATATCAGTAAAAATCCCATTTAGACAATATTGCTCAGAAAATTAGAATAATACCTATTAGCTTTAAGGGAAAAGTTAAACGAGGATTTAAAACTAGAAGGGGTTAAGTATACGAGGTATAATTTGGGGATGTGGAATGACATAGCCTGTCCCACCTGCTCTCCATGGACAAAACCAGGAGTGGGAGCCCTGTCTGTGATCTGCACCATGCGTTACTCTTGTAGCCCTATCTCATTTGCAAATGCTAGTGTTTCAGAAGTGTTGTCTACCTCTGCAATCCCTAAGAGGTAATACATAAGGCAGGTAGCTTTTGTGCGAGGGGGACTGGGATGAAGTGACAGCTAGACAGAAGTGGGCAAGCGGAGGACCCTGTAGTGCTGCAGTGCCTCATGTACAGAAGCAGGCGGGATGAGCTGTCAATGAGAACAGGTCTCCTGTGGGAGCAGGCCCTGCTCCTTAAAGATCTGGCTCCGCATTGACCATGTGGAGGGTAAATGTGGGGTAGGTCCTCTCAGGGGTGCCCAGTACTTAAGAGAAGTCATGACTTGTGGGACTCTGAAGAAAAGGAGAAAAGGGAGCAGCTTCAGGATTGGGTAATTTTCCTGCCCCTTTTTCTGAAAGAGTGAGCCATCATGGCCAAGTCTCCACACAAGCACGGGGAAATCGCAAAGGAGATTTTTAAGAGCAATAGCACTTAGAGAATTCCCTTTTCTTCCTGAAAGGCACTGTGGACATGCCTGGATACTTCTAACCTCTTGGAGTTTCAGTTTGCCTGTTTTGTTCTTTAACCAAGATGGTGCACCATTAGCTGGAGGTCAGCTTGCAAAGACTGCTAAGTAAAGGAGAGGTTTAGGAAAGTTCTTCAAATTAAGAGGTGAGCACCAAACATAGTTAGCCACGGGAGAGTGAGGATGTTGGACAGTCATACTCTTTTACTCCTAGAGCAACTCACAGGAGATTTAGTAATTATCCCTATTTTACAGCTCCAAATTGAACTGTGATTACCTTTTTCAAGACAAAAATAAGGCTGCGAAACCTATGTGTGTTCCTTCATCAGTATCTGAATTTTTCTAAGCACCTTTAGGCCACTTTGTATCAGTGGACCCACAATTTAGATGAAAACATTAAGTGACCATTTGAAGCCAATGTACATAATAATGAGTAGCCAACATGACCACTATTTTTAGTGCAGAAATATATTCAATATCAAGGCCATTGATGTTTGCCTGTTTTATTTAATCATATTTCTTTTACCTGGGAGAAACAGATCTTATTGCATACAGATGAGTGTTCAGGGAAGGAGTCGGGCTTTGTGCTATCCAAATTAAATTCTAAAAGCCAGGAAATTCATCATTCTGACATCCCTTGGCAGATGCAGAGTGTGTATTGAAATATCTCTTGAAAAGTGTCTTGTTTACATGAGGAATACATTTTGCAGATCATGTTAATTAGAAATACTATCTGAGTAAGGCCTTTAATAGTGTATCTGTCTTTAACATAAAATTGAGGCACTATTTTCCCAAATTACAAGAATGAGTGTTTCCTCTGAATACCTATATTTTGAATTTTAAAGTTTCCTTCTAAACAGGGTGTATGTTTTTTTCCCTTGGGTTTTCCTCAAAGTCCAGTATTTATGGTGATATTATTAATCTAAACTTACAGATGTTATATTTTAAAAAACAGAGAAGTTGGGGAAAATATTTAAAAAAAGACATTTCTTACTATTAAGAGTTCTTGTAATTAAAAGTAGTCTTATAACTTGTAGAGGGTATGTCCTTTATAAGAATACTTCAAAAGCACAGTTTTAGATACTGTGAACTTATTTAACAGCTCTCTATTTTGAAAATTTTTTTCTTTTCTTTATTAATTTTTTTTTATTTTCAGCATATTACAAGGGGGTAAAAATGTTTAGGTTACATATATTGCATTTGACCCACCTGAGTCAGAGCTTCAAGTGTGTCCATCCCCCAGACGGTGCACACCACACCCATTAGGTGTGTATATACCCATCCTCTCCTCCCCCTCCCATCTGCCTGACACCCGATGAATGGTACTACTGTATGTGCACTTAAGTGTTGATCTGTTAATACCAGTTTGATGGTGAGTACATGTGGTGCTTGTTTTTCCACTCTTGTGATACTTCACTTAGTAGAATGGTCTCCAGCTCTATCAAGGATAATGCGAGGTCCTAGATCACCATTGTTTTTGGGGGCTGAGTAGAACTCTATGGTATATAGAACTCTGTGGTATATATATATACCACATTTTATTAATCCACTCATGTATTGATGGGCACTTGGGTTGTTTCCACATCTTTGCAATTGTGAATTGCGCACTATAAACATTCTAGTGTAGATGTCTTTTTTATAGAATCTTTTTTTTCCTTTGGGTAGATGCCCAGTAATGGCATTGCTGGGTCAAATGGTAGTTCTACTTGTAGCTCTTTGAAGTATCTCCATATTACTTTCCACAGAAGTTGTACTAGTTTGCAGTCCCACCAGCACTGTATGAGTGTTCCTATCTCTCCACCTCCACACCAACATTTGTTGTTCTGGGACTTTTTGATAAAGGTCATTCTCACTAGAGATAAGTGATATCTCATTGTGGTTTTGATTTGCGTGTCCCTGATGGTTAGAGATGTTGAGCATTTTTCCCATGTTTCTTGGCCATTAGTCTATCTTCTTTTGAAAAGTTTCTGTAGCATGAAACTATAAGAATTGTAGAAGAAAATGTTGGAAAAACTCTTATAGACATTGGGCTAGGCAAAGGATGTATGAAGAAGACCCCAAAGGCAATCATAGCAACAACAAAAATAAATAAATGGAACCTGATCAAATTAAAAAGCTTCTGGACAGCCAAGGAAACTATCACGAGAGCAAACAGACAACCTACAGAATGGGAGAAAATATTCACATGCTACACATCTGATAAAGGGCTGATAACTGGAATCTATAGAGAACTCAGGAAAATCAGCAAGAAAAAATAAAACGGCCCTATCAAAAAGTAGACAAAGGACATTTTGAGATTTTTGTGGAAGATTTTATGTAGAGAACAAGTGGACATTATGAACCATGAGTAAAAATTTCCATTATATCTCTAAAACCATTTTCCTGGTAACTTCAGTGTTACATACATACAGACATACAAAAAGTGAGTTTACAATCATAAGAAACGACAGTGATCTAGAACCTCTTATACTTTCCTGGATTAAACTTAAGCCCATTATCCAATGTGAGGCACCACAAGATTG